AACCACCAAAGGAAGTACTGTTCGCCCCTGCGATTTTCCTTACCTTTGGTTCGTGCACGAAGTTACCTGGTTGCCACGTGGTGCTCAAGTAGGCCTTTTTCCCACTTTGCCAAGGGTCCGGATTTATTCGCTTCCTTGGGAGACTTCAGCAGATCTCACCCTAGGGCTGCTGTGACTGGACAGCAGGAAGCGTCTCCCTCAGAGGAGAAGGCTAAAGCTGCTTCCCAAAGGGAATGGGAAATCCCGGACGGTCCCCCAAATTGTTAGAAATGAATCCCGATGTCGCATAAAAGACACTCGGTGAGACTAAATTACCTTGGCAAAGTAAAATTTACTCCTGCAAGAGGGTGCTTGCACATAGCTGTACATACATGAACAGGCTAGCGAGCATACCGAGTGGCCAGTCCACTCAGGTTTTAATCCCTGACGCGAGTCTCAAGGCTGTGTCTCAAGGGTTTTGACCGAGTCTCAAGGGTTTTGACGCGAGTCTCAAGGGTTTTGACCGCACAATCTATTCCCTTACCCGGTTGGCTAGTTCAAATTTTTAAGGCACACATTCCTACTTTAGGAAAAGAAGAGAGTGATCATAGTCTTTGCTCCAGTTAGTAGTTTAAGGAAAAAGAAAGTTATCATAAATTCCTTACTCCCAGAAGTGGTTTAAAGAAAAAGAAAGTGACTATAAATTCTTTACTCACTTCAGGAAGTAACCAAAGAAAAAGAGAGAGATCATAAAGTCTTTACTTCAGGAAATAAAAAAAGTTACCTGAATATAATAAACAGGATTATAATTTTTTTCCCACACAATCTAGGAGCAGAGGTTCCTGGGACCATCAAGGGAGAAGAGGGGAGAGCAGGACCCCACCCAAGATGGAGACAGAGATGATGATGGAGAGATGGAGCAGCTGGGGACGCTGGACCCAGAGAGGGAGAGGGGCTGTGTGCTGATGGCCGGGGGGCAGGCTTACAGGGTATACCCTTTGGTTGGTTGATGATGCATGGAGGGGATTGTAACCAGTCGTCGGCACACAGCCCCTCTCCCTCTCTGGGTCTAAAGTTCCCATAATGGCTGTACTCTTTATGGAAGCAGACTGCCACATCTTTCTTCCACAGAGGCTAGTGGGTTCTAACCACCGACCTTTCCGTTTATTGAATTTATTCAAGCTGAGTGCTTTAACCAATATGCCACGAGGCGTCCTTGTTCCTTCACTAACCTACTGCCATCAAGTCAATTCCAACTCATAGCAACTCAACATCGGGCTTCTAAAGACTGTACATCTTTACAGAAGCTGATAGCCTCATCCTGCTCTCTTGAAGCCACTGGAGGGTTTGAACCACCAACCTTGTAATTAGCAGTTCAGTGCTTATCCTACTATTGTGGTTAAGTGCCACCAAGTTGGTTCCAATACTTACTGACCCTATATAGGGTTTCCAAGGAGTGTTTGGTGGGTTTGAACTACTGACCTTATGGTTAGCAATCTAGTGCTTATCCTATAGCGCCATATGCTTATCTTTGTTGTTCTTCTTGTTAAGTGCCATTGAGTCTGTTCGGACTCACAGTTACTCTGTATAGGGTTTCCAAGGAGCAACTGGTGAGTTTGAACTGCCGACCTTGTGGTTTAAACTGCCTTTGCAGTCCAGTGCATTAACTCAGCACCACACCAGGACTCGATGCTTTACTTCCATAGTTTCATAATCGCTCTTCACAGCTGCTATGGCCACAGCTTATTCAAGAAACAATCTTCCCTTGGCATCTGGCTACTCTCTCATGCTTTTTCCCTGGCCTCATGATTTGGCCTGGTCTCCTTGGTGCTGCTGCCCTCAGGGTCTGTTCTCTCCACCCTCCCTGGCAAGAACCCCAGCCTCCTCCCTCTCTCTTGCCACTTCCATTTGTTTACTGTGGTGGTTTTCCCCCTAAAATACAAAGGAGGATATCCATACACAGTCTAGCTTAAAAACCTACCTTACTGCTCTCAGGAAGAATTCTAGACTCCTTAACAACAGCACCCAAGGTTAAATTAAATCAACTCCCTTGGAAGCAGCCTTGAAACAAGGATTCAGGTGTAAGAAGTTTATCTGGAAGGTGACTTCAGGAACGAGAGTGAGGAAGCCAGATATGAAGGGGAGGCAACCAGTCAGGAAGCGTTAAAGAACAGGATTCTGCTGTGGGCACAGACCTTTGGGAGACTGTGTAGACCTGTCTCAGAGTTGTCCTACCTGAGAGTGAGGAAGCTGGGTGTTTTCCAGTCAGCACTAAATAGGGATGCTCGCCAACATACCAGCATTAGAGCTTCTGAGAGCCACACCTTTCTCTCCTTCTCTCTCCTTCATATGTGTTCTTCCTTCTTTTTTTCTGAGCCCATGCTACTACTCCACAGTTGATTAAACCAGGGATGGATAACTAAACCAATCAGCTTCACTCTCCTAGAAATCTGGGATTGGGTTGTCAATCTCTGCTTTGACTTGAAGTGGGGACACCTAACCATGATGGTCTTGTCTGGCCACAGGTTCCCAGAGAAGCAGAGAAAGCCAGTGTTTAGACAGAGACACTTAGTGGGTACATGAAGAGAAGAAGAGAAAGCCAGTGTTCTGAGAGAGACACTCACTCAGTGGGTGCACAAAGAGACAGACAGAGGAAGGGCCACACAGTTTCCGATAGGCTGAGAGAGCAACGTCAGCCCATGACATTTCTGTTTGTATTTTATTAATAGATTCTTCTGAGGATGGACCATGTTTCTTCTAATTGGTTCTGTAAGGTAAGACAGTTTCGGTAAAAAATAAACTGACAAACAAAAAATAATGGCAAGCCCTTGCTTATTAACCCCCCTTATAGCTTAATTCTTCTAGTTGTGCAACCATTATCTCATACTTGAGAGATAACAATTTCTTTTAGAAACTTTCTTTTCAGCGGAAGCTAGATCATTTTTCTGTAACTTGTAACCAGAGACCACTTGCACACACACACACATATAAAATCTTGACTAGGAGAAATTTACTGCTCACATCACCAACTCCCCAATCCATTCGCATTCTGACTTCCTGTTTCACAGAGAAACAAACACCACCCTTCCCAAAATCCACTCAGATCGTCATCTTCAACAGCTCAGATGTTCTTCCTGCTCTTACACCTCCACTTCCTCACGCCCCTCTGGTCTGAGCTGAGGGGCCAGGGCATCAGATTGTTGAGTTTATTTCTATGATGGGTATTTCTGGCTTCACTCTCCAGATCTTCTTACCCCATTTCTCCACCCTGTTCTGTGCGCTGGGAAGTTGGCCCATGGCCTGGGTCAACCAGCCTAGGGTCATCAGACACAAACCTTCTGACCCACTGCAGTGAATGTATTAGAGGAGCTATGAAGGAGTATCACCAAACAAAGGAAACAATGAAGTCCTTACAAGATTCTGGGAAGGGTGGGTTTATATGAAATTGAAATGACGTTAGGCTAGCAAGACTCTGTAAAGGGGCTGTTATGGACTGAATTGTGTTGGAGTCCTAACCCTTAGAACCTATGATTGTGAATAGGGTCTTTGAAGATGTTATCAGTTAATGTGAGGTCATACTAGAATAGGGTGGGTCCTAATCCTGTAAAAGAGAAGAGACACACAGACAGAGGGAAAACATTCACTTGAGGATGGAGTTAGGCTGCAGCTACAAGCCAAGGAACAGCGGAGGCTCCCAGAAGCTGGGAGAGACAAGAGGGATGGATCTTCATCGAGAAGCTTTTGAGATAACAGCACCCTATAGCCTCCCTGAATTCAGACTCCTAGACTTCAGAACCAAGAGACAACGCATTTCTGTTGCTTTATGCTGCCCACTTTGTGGAGCCTTGTTACGGCAATGTCAGAGACTAACACAGCGGTCAGCATTAGATCTGGATGGCAGAGACCGGCCCTGTTCAGCACAGTCCACATCCACTGACTTAGCAAAGCAGGGGTAGAGAGGTTATTCTCAGCCCAGTGAGGAGTAAACACTACAGGATCATTCTTCTGTCTAAGCTTATGCTGGTCCTGCATCATAAAGCTCTGCCTTCCGTAGGGGTTGGTACCAAGAGCACACAAGGGAAAGGAAAAAAAAAAAAAAAAGCCCACATTGGGTTCTAGCCCTGGGCCAGCTGCCTACCTTATAAGACTTTACCTAAAGGTAGGTGGAGAAACACTAAGGAAATGGCAAGTGATGTCTTGAAGGGTCAGAGATTTGAGGCCATGCTCCAAGGCAACTAGATTTCAGATACTCCCAAAGATGAATTCCAGGGGCCATGACAAATCAACAAATGTCAAAGTCAGCTGGGAAGGGGGCTCTCTTGCTGGCAGTGATGGGAAACTACTTGGAACTTTCGTAGAGAGTGGAGGGATTTACTGAAGAACATGAAGCTCTTCTGCAACTGGTAATAAGTTTATAGGGGAGTGTATCTGGTGGATCAGTATACCACCCCCTGCCGTCACATCTGATGCCTCTATCTCCCATCTGCAGAGTGTTGAGAGGACACAGGGGTGGAAAGAGAAGAGGAGAAATCAATTCATCCCGTGCTCACACATATCTGGGGCTGAATAACCCTTTGTAGAAATGAATCCCTCAGTCTCTTAGTGGAGCTTGAGGTCATGGAAAGGTCTAGGCTCGTTGAGGCACAATTGAAGCTCTGGGTCTCTTGACCTTTTGAAAGGCTACTCCTTTCTTCTGCCTGAAAGCAAAAGGAAAGGCAGGAAGGGGAGAATTCTAGAAACGCCCTTCCTCTGAGCACAGTTTTTGTGTAAACATCTGGGGGAGGCAGGCTAGGACTGGGCCAGAGCCTTCAGGCTTGTAGGACTGACTGGGTTCTTCTTGTTTATTCCCAGCCCAAGTCTGGGAGAGCTGCCAGGGCCCGCCCCCACTCCACCGCTATTGGAGGAACTCTTGAGTTAAGAGATTCTGATTAGAACCAGCACACTTTGCTCACCGTTGTCCAGGTCTCGGAGAGGTGGGTGCGCAGACCCAGTCCTGAGTGGGGAGCAGCGTCTCTCCCACCATGTCAGCCTGCTGCTGCTGTGACATTTTCCAGTATGAGACAAACAAAGTCACCCGGATCCACAGTGTGAATTACGGCACCATTAAGTGGATCTTCCACATGGTTGTCTTTTCCTATGTTAGGTAAGTGATGTGTGGGCACCACCTCAAATCCCTGCTGTGGCTAACTGCCCAGAACACTCCACGGTGGAGCTCTGGAGCACATCGGAATTCAACGTGGTTTTCAAATCTTTCAGTCAGCTGGTCAGGAGGAAGCTGCACCAGGTGTCTACCAAGGGCCTGCTCTGGGAGCTGGGCAGGGCAAGCCTGAGGAAGGTAAGAAAATACACGGCAACATCTTGGATGTTGGCTGTGGTGGGGAGCATCAGACCAGCTAAGTGCGAACTGCTGATCTCCAATGTCTGGAAGTTTTGTTGCCAGTGGATTTTGTTGTTGGTTTTTTAACAGCCTTATTTAGGTATAATTTATAGAATGTGCATTCACCCATTTAAATGGTCCAATTCCATGATTTCTAACATAGTCAGACTGTGCATCCACCACCACAATCAATTTTAGAACATTTCAATCACCTTCAAAAGAAATCCTACACCCCTAATCTTTTTTACCCCATCTCCCTTACCCCCCCACAGGCCCTGCCAACCACTAATGGACAATGTCTCTAGGGATTTGCCTATTCTAGACATCTCAGATAACAGGAATCCTACCATCTGCAACCCTTTGTGACTGGTTTCTTTCACTCAGCACCATGTTTCCAAGGTCCATCCACACTGTAGCATGTATCAGTGCATCATTCCTTTGTATGTCTGATTAGTATTCCATTGTATGGATGTACCACATTTTGTTTACTCGTTCATCAGTTGAGGGACGCTTGGGTTGTTTCTACTTTGGGCCTATTAGGAATTATGTTAATAATGCTGTTCAAATATTAGTGTGTAAGTGTTGATGTGAATAGATGTTCTCATTTCTCCTGGGAAGGGATCTAGGATTAACATTACTGAGTCATGTGCTAATTCTATATTGAACCTTTTGAGGAACTACCACCAGATTTGTTTCTATAGTAGCTGCACTGTTTTACAGTAAACAGGACATGATGGTTCCAATTTCTCCGCATCCTCATCAACACTACCTTTTGTCTGTTTGATGATAGCTATCCTAGCGAGTGTTAAGTAACTTGTTCCCTTTTCCCGGATGGCTCATCCCAACGTTTTCTTTGTAATGATGATAATGACTTGCTTCTACACAGGGAGGCAGTACAGGTCACAAACCAAGAAACTGTGGTAGTGGTGACTGTGTGTGGTGGAGTCGGTTCTGGCTCATAGCGACTCTATGGGGTTTCCGAGGCTGTAAATTTTTGTGGGAGCAGAAAGCATCATCTTTCTCCCATGGAGCTACTAGAAGATTCAAACTACTGACCTTTCGGTTAGCAGGCCTGCCTGTAATCCACTATGCTACCAGGGCTCCTTAGCCAAGAGGTTGTTGTTGTTAAGTGCCATCGAGTCGGTTCCGAGTCGACGTGGCCTTGTATAGGGTTTCCAAGGAGTGGCTTGCACCGCTTACTTTGTGGTTCAGACTGACCTTGCAGTTCAGCACATTATCCCACAACGCCACACCTGGACTCCAGCCAAGAGGTAGAGCAGTCTATCTTACAATTCTGGATCTTTAGTCAAATCACCTATCCTCTCTGAGCCTCAGTCTCCACACCTGTTCATAGAGTTGTGATAAACAAGAAATTACATGAAAAGCTCTTTTTATGATGCCTGGAATGGGCTAAGAGCTCCATATATGATAGCTATTTAAAAAATATATATAGGAACACTTACATAGACACCCTTTCTTTTCACCCTCAGAGTAATTGTGCCTAAATTTAGGGTTTGAGATTTGGAAATAGGGAGTCGAATCCTTTACCTCTTTGAGCCTTGGCTTCCTCAGCTGTAAAATGGGGATAAAGATTGTTGTGAGTATTAAATAAATGCAAAGCTGTGAGAAAAATACTTGGCCATATCCACTGCCATTGAGTTGATTCCGACTCCTGTCCTTTTAACTGCTGTTTCTTATTATTAAAAATATAGTTATTAAGCTTATCATTATCTAATTAACATGTTTGCTGTTGTTGGGTGTTGTTAAGTGGGTTCTGACTCACAGCACCTCTGAGTGATGGAATAGGACTACCCCGCATCGTTTCCTAGACTAATCTTTATGAAAGCACAATGTGGGTTCAAACAACCAACCTTCAATAGTTGAGCGCTTAACCTTTGAGCTACCTGGGCTCACTTGTCAACAAATATTAAATAATAGACATATATATTGAAATTCTAAAATAACAACCTTATCATTTAGACCAACTATCATAAAACCATACCGAAGGCTGTGCTCTTTGATCTTCATCAGTAAATGTTTTAAGTCCTCTTCACTTTCAGCAAGCAAGGTTGTATCATCTGCATATCGCAGGTTGTTAATGAGTCTTCCTCCAATCCTGATGCCACATTTTTCTTCATAGAACCCAGCTTCTTGTATTATTTGTTCAGAATGCAGGTTGAATAAGTATGGTGAAAAGAATACAACCTTGTCGCACACCTTTCTTAATTTTAAACCATTCAGTGTTCCCATGTTCTGTTCGAACAAGTGCTTATTGGTCCAGGTACAGATTCTTTATGAGTACAATGAACTGTTCCGGAATACTCATATTTCGCAATGTTGTCTGTAGCTTGTCATGATCCACATAATCGAAAGCTTTTGCGTAGTCAATAAAGCACAGGTAAACATCTTTCTGATATTCTCTGCTTTCAAATAAAGCCAAAGAGCATACTGGGTTTATTAATGCTCCCTTATGCATTAACAAATAGATTCCATGTCACAATTCCACATGGCAGATCATGTGGAATTCTTTTGTCCAGCACACAATTTCTTTAAAACAGAGTATCTGCATAGTATCTGCATACATAAAAACAGATTCTTATGAGAACAGTTTATCATGATAAATATTTTCCTCAATAGGATGGTGTTTCATCTTACATGCATTTAACTTCCCACATCCAGTTATACATGATCTGTGGGGGCAGAGGGAGAGAACAATTTAAATAGAGCACTGTTTCAATCATTGAGTGCCCAGGCTGAGCCTGAAATGGGATACTTGAGTCTGGGGTTCCCTCAGTCCATCCATTCCCACAAGCTTCTCATAGAGTGTCTTGCTGCCCTATCTGTGAATCTAGATACATATTTTCCACCCAACATGGCTTTCAAAACAAGCCAACTCCTTCATCTGAAGCAACCTGTTCCAGAGCTGAAGAGAAATTGGCTCTGGTGCTTGTTTGCAGGTGGGAGGTCATTTGCTAGGCTTTGTAGCCAATATAAAGATAATGTTGATTAGGCATGATTTTGACCTTGAATGCAAAGTTGAGAAGATAACCCCTTTGTAATATTCTTCTCTACGGTGTATATTTTAAAATATAAAGTTGAAGAAAAATACTGCCAGCCTTGATCACTTCCCCCGTCTTTGTTAATGGGACATTTATTAACATTCCACTGAAGACTATAACTAAGTAAAACCTAGTTCATGTCTCCATGAGGTTTTACTCCAGTGGGGAGAAAGGCATGATACAAAAAAGAAAATCAAAGAGACATTGTAAAATAACAAGTGCTGTGAAGAATTAGGGAGTCCTGGTGTGGCGCTGGGGGTGAATGTGCTGCACTGTAAAGCCAGTTTGAACCACAAGATCAGTGATTCAAGCTCATTAGCTGCTCCTTGGAAACCCTATATAGGGTTGCTATGGGTTGGAATCGACTCCACGACACTTAACAACAACAACAATGAAGAATTAGAGTAGGGAAGAGGATAGAGAATGGGGAGGGGTGTGTATGCATGTGTATGGGTGTATCAGAAAGAGAGAGAGAGAGAGAGAAAGACATTTGTGTTGAACTTCCTATTGATAGAGGGAATAAGCCATCATGTCACTGGGAGAAGAGTGTTTCTAGCAAAGGGAACAGCAGGTACAAAGGCCCTGCGATGGGAACTTGACAGGGGGTTCAAGGAAACACAGGAGGAAAATGTGGATGGAGCCCAGTGGACAAGGTAGGAGAAGGTGTGAATGGACTAAGATATAGGAGGTGAGAGGAGAGGTAGTGTGGGCAGGGGAAAGAGAACAGATCATGCAGGCCTTGTAGGGCACTGTGAGCTCTCTAGATTTTATTCCGGGCTGAGTTAGAAGCCATACCAATCCAAAACCCAAACCTGTTGTCTGAGTCGATTCTGACCCATAGCAACTCTACAGGGCAATGTAGAACTGCCACCTAGGACGTCTAAGGCTGTAATCTTCATAGAAGCAGGCTGTCACGTTTTTCTTCCACAGAGTAGCTGGTGGGTTTGAACTGCTAACCTTTCAGTTAGCAGCTGAGCACTTAACCATTGCATCATCAGGGCTCCTTAAGAAGCCAAGGGAGAGTTTTAAGCAGAGGAGTAGAAATGTTGCCATTCTTTTGGGAAGATTTCCCTGTCCAGTTCTAGAGAACACTCTGCTTCCATGGGCCACAGAAGACTAGAGGATTGTTAAGAGAAGAACAGTGGAGTAAATTCCACTCTCAACTGCTTCTCCTCCAAGCAGTAATCTCCACCCAGGCACACAGCAAGCCCAGTTTTGTCTTCCACAGCCCCAGGCTGCCCGTCACCATGGAGACCATGCTGTTGCTGTGAGTTGTAACTATCTCACCTGAGGCTGGCCACACACCAGAGAGGCTGGGGTGTCTCCAGTTGAGCAGAAGTAAGAGCAACCCAGAGGCGGAGGAGGGATCAGAGCTGGAGAGGAGCCAATCCAAGTCAGGCAATGATTAGACACATATGTAGCACGCAACACTGCACGTGCCCAAGGAACCACATGAGGCAGTGGGCGTGAGCAGAATTCATCTTTAGGAATATGAGAGGTGGACCCCAGGCTTTAGACCATCTTCTCTGGTCTGGTTCTTACTAATGGGACTTATAGAATGGAGTGGGTAAGAACAGAGGCAGAGTGATTATTTGGGAGACTACTGAAAGTTGATGGCAATTTGGACTGATGTAATGACAGTGGGAGAGGGGACAAGTAGATGGGTTTGAGTTATGTTGTTGTTGGGGGTCATTAAGTGGATTCCAA